CGTGTGTGTGTGTGTGTGTGTGTGTGTGTGTGTGTGTGTGTGTGTGTGTGTTTCTGTGTGTGTGTGTGTGTAGCTGCTTTTGATTAGATAATTTTTGTTTCCTCCCGACAACAAGTCGACCTCAACAATACCATGGCGAGTTGGGAAGTGCTTGGCTCATCATAAACAGCAAGAACACTAGATCTATAATTTCAAAATGACCACTGTGTGCTTTTAATGCTCTTTCGGACTTCTCAAAAACTAAATTTGTGGTAGAGAGTACATAAAAAACTAAGCTTAAGTATGACTAAATAAAAGAAAGAAATTAAGTAAAACAAGTGGAAACAGTTTATTTAACAAAATGTTGAAAAAGTGAAAATGCAAATTTCTTAACAGTAGTCTTAGAAACTACATTGCTTTGGTATGAATCACAAAAACCAATAGCTAATCACAATAAGACATGATACAGTTTACAAATGTCTGAGCAAAACTACTTGACAGAGATAGAATACAAGAAATATTTACGACATGATATAAGTCACATTGTTTAGAGATATCATGATAAGAATAAGTATTAATATTGAAACCAAGTCCTGGGATGATAATCGGTTAATCTGAAATAAAACATTTCACACTTAAGCTGCAAGACACATTATCACAGCAAATTTCCTTTTGACAGCACGAAGTAAAAGCTGATTCTTTTTGCTTCATCCAAAATGTTGAAATGCACTTAGTGCTGAAGAAACTACTGGGAGCTAAAGTCTAAAAAAAAAATAAAAAAAGGAAGGGTGTAATTTTAGGGAGGATAGAAACTTACAGACTGGGGGGCAAAAGGAAACTTTGATGCTTAATAAATAAAAAGATCAGTGGTGAAGAATTGCACAATTTCACCAAAAAAAATAGTAATTGACTGGCGGATTTACTCATTACCATCATCAACAAACAGTATATTGTTAATACTGAATCACCCTTGCGCAATGACCTTTGTTTTCATTTATATATATCATATTATAATATGATGCAAAATTTTTCAATGCCTAAACAAAAAGTTTGCTGGCTGCGTACTGCTCAGCTTTCTTTTATTATAATCATTATCAACATCCACACCAGTTTATATTCCTACAGAGGTCTACAAATAAGCTTCTCAGCTGCTAATTAGTCTGAATTTTGGTTTTTTTAAGTTTTTTCGTTTTGTTTTGTTTTGTTTTTTGTTTTTTTTGGGGGGTATGTTTGTCCCCTTCCAGTTGAAATCCTATTATTATTACCCATTATATCAGATATTGCCCATTAAAGGTATCTTCCTTCCTCTTTTAACAGAGACATCTAATTTCTTGGCACTTTTCAGGGGTTTAGTGTATAATTAGGTTTGCACATTGTTTTCATCTTACAACTTCTCTGAAACTAGCCACATGGTATGAAGCAGGCCTCTATCTTACTGGCAAAGGGCATAAATTAATGGGTCCCACCCTGTTCGACCGGTCTCACAAAATCGGGTTTTCTGGACTGCTGTACATTACGTTTGTAGTTAGGGGCCTACTCGTGTATATGGACTGATTTAAATGATATTTGGTATATATAATACATAATATATA